ATTTCCTAAATCCGCCCCTGAGTAAAGGAGCAACAAATTGATAAGTGTGGTGCATGCTGCTCTTATTTCCTAGTGCTAGGTGTCATCTATCCCTGCACTGACTTTTTGTCAGCAAATCTGATTTCAAGATTGTGTGTGTGCGCGTTTGTGAGTATTGGCAGGAATTCATTATTTATTTTGTTCCAGCCCTTTTGATTCTTTATATAACTGTTAATTTATTTGGATATTGTGTTTCTTTTGTATAAGGTTTAAGGTTGTTACATTTATTAATTGTTTTCTGCTTACAGTTGCTGAGGTCCGGTGTAAGTGCTGGTGGGTTGTCTCACTGGGTTTGGTGATTTAAAGGGTTTTTGTTAGCTGTGTTTGGTGGATGCCGTCCCTATAGTTGCCCCTTCTGCTGGTAACCTCAGTGACTGTAGTTTCTTCTGTTTTTCTTAATTTTTTTTTGGTTATTATAAAGGACTATTTTTTAAAGAGTATTTTAAAAAGAATTTAATAAATAGCTTTCTGTAAATAGCTTTCTGTTTGAAACTGTCTCAGATGTCTCAATCCATGCATAACTGAACCTGTGTGCCTTAAAAAGAGGATAATATTCCCTGGGTGAAATTTCCAGGGTGGCGTTGTTGAGCAATTTATTTGGGTCTAGAAATTTAAAATGCACAATATTCCACAATGTTTCATCTAGTGTCACCACATTACAGCTACACATACAGTAGTAGCTATTCAAAATTTCCCCACTTTCCTTGATGGGTCCTTTGCTGGTTCCCTACAATTCCTTTTTAAACATCAATCTTTGTACTAAAATAATCTTTTAGGATTTGCGGACAATATGATCTAAAGAGAAGCTCCATGTCATGGTTGGATCCTTTTCTTCAGTGAAAGGGTGGAATCAGAGTTAAAAAAAATATGCACGCCCAGGAGAAGCAGGGGGCCATTTTGAATGGCTGCTACTGTATTGTGAGGGATTTCTCTATAAGCTTTTTCCAGTTATAGAGAATGACATATTTGCCTGTTGTTCTTTAGTGTCTGAGTGCATCAATTTTCAACTATTAATAATTTTACTTATTTGGATTTATGTCAAAGCTTTATTAGGGTTTAAAAACACAGATTAGCTCTGGCTTTATGCTTAAGGTCGGCATTCTGCGGGTAGATTATTTTGCTCCCCATGCTCAGCTCTTTTGCAGCCTCTTACTGGTTTATTTTAGGATCGCTCAGCATATAGTTCAATGCATTTTACCATTAACTCATCCAGCCTTCCTGTCTTTTTCAAAATAAAGCGTAGCACTGCTATGTTTCATGGTAGCAATGATAGATGTCTGTTGGCGGTTAGCTGCACTACTGTAGATTTCCTGGCGGCATATCAGTGTACTAGGGGGTAAAAATGCATGCCATACCTTTCAGATTTTCTTTTGTGAAAATATTAAATATATTTCCCCTATTTTGACTTAGTTTGCTGTAGTTTGGTTTTATTATGAAAAACTCCCCATTTTAAGGATATTTTTGTAAAACATTATAGTGTGCATTTTGTATTTGGTACTGTATGTAGAAGTAAATTCCATGTTTTGGTCAGAACATGGGGACAAAAACGTATATTTCATTCCAATTTGCCTTGTTCTGTATCAGCCACTGTGGGTCACTTACCAAGGTCTGATTCAATTATTCTTCCTTTCATAACAGGAGGAAAACATTTTCATGGTGAACGGTTTTCCTAAATAGATTACTATCTGAAATAATTCAATTTCCGTTAATTTGATTGATTTCATACCAAGGGGGAAAAGAAATCTTAATTTAAAAGCATTGCATTTCTAATCAAACATTAACGGAGGAGCAGCGGCAGGCGAAAATCTTTTATTACCAGTTTCTCCACTAATTTAAATAAAAAATGCTCACGGCTGCCCCTATTAAATATCACCATCACAATTCAGTGCATGCCCTCATATGCGAGATCTCCTAAAAATAAGCTCCTTAACTCTTTGCATCCTTTTCCATGTGTCCTGCACGCATAATCAACAAACAGAGAATCTAACGGTGGCCATTACAGCAGAGGATCCAGATAAAGGAGTTCACTCATCTGATCCATTCCCATTTATTATTCATTCCAGACACACTAGGCTTCACTTTTAGGGCAGACCTACAAAACCAATCTATCCTTGTGAGCAAAAAGGAAACGCCACGTAGTAGTATGACTCACCGAGACACCAGAGAGACTGAAACAGATAGAAAGACAACGGGGTACAAACAGTGATCCACAGGTGAAGTGAATCATCAAGGAAACGCCAAATCAAATTATCACAAACCTGAAAACGAGAGAGAAATAAAAAAAGAAGGAAGGAAAGTTCCACACACAAAAAGAGAGGTGACATTTTTGACTTATTGAGCACTTCTTCAACAGGTGCACTCTGCAGACGGGTGCCCACTGGTGCTATGCTGTCAGAAAATACAGCATTCTGGCCACTGCTGCGAGGAGAAAACACCTTGCAGAGACATTGTGTGAGTGGCAGGCAGAACTGGCAGGCTGCCACAGATAATAACATCTGAAATAAATTTGATGTGTGGAATTCAATCTGTAGTGATAGGGACGGCTGCAGCATTAGAGTGAAGTTCTAAATGCTATCTACTCATCCATGGAATGAGGACTGACACGCAGCCTCAGAGAATAGATTGTGCAATTAGCAGCCTTTGTGCTGTTTTGACACAATGAAAAGGGGAAATGAGATTCAACGTTGTCATGCATGGCTTTCTGTGGCTCTGCGATTCTCATATGATAGTCTTCCTGTACTCCAGGTGAGAATAAGTTGAGATATTTGGAGATGTAATATAGCACAGAGAGAATGCACAAGGGAGACTTATTAATAATCTGAAATATTTTATTCAGACTGTGTGATTTTTGGAGTGTTTCATTCTGATGTGATATTATTCCCATTCTGATGGTCATCAATGTGAGGTGCAGTATGCAGTTCAAGGACAAGGGGGCGCTCTTTGAGTAGACATTGAGCAAAAATGGTTGGAGAACCAGAAGGAGAATGAAAGATAAAGCAAGATAGAAAGGTTTGGTGATGAATGAGAATTAAACTCCATTTAATTATTTTGCAGAAACAAAAAACAATCTTTGCTGTTTTCAACATGTTGCTCTTTGAGGTGAATGAATAACAGCAGCCACAATAATCTTGTTAGAGGTAGTCTAGTAGGAGAATTAAATGCTTTCCTCAAGCAAAAATGCTCTATAGGAGGATTTCATTAAACAGGAATATCAGCAGAAAGGTAATTAGTTTTAGCATTTAATTTAAAAGAAAATAAATGATAGATTATATTGATGTGTAATCGTCAAGCTCTACCCTTGTTATGGCCAACATCATTATGGCGTAGACAGCTGACCAGTTCGCTAGTCCTCATCACTGATATGCTCTTCAATGAGGGAAAGCTATGAAATGTTCTGGCTACAGAAGCTGTCTGTTTAATGGAAAGTTGAGTGGAAGGAAATGTGTGTTGGAGAAAAGTGTGCATGCAACAGAGTTAAACACAGCACTGATAGCATTGTGAAGAAAAGCCCATTCAGTAGTTGAACTGTATGTGGATTCAGTTCCATAAAGGCAATCACACTCAGACATATCCAGAACAATTTGCTACACTTGGTTAAATCCTTGTGTTTATCAAAAAGTGACCTGAAGACACTTTCTAAATATAAGCAGACTCTTACTTAGTGTTTCAATCTGAAAATTAAAGATTTTTCTTCAAATTTCCTTTAGTAATCAAGGTCTAATAGTGTGAATTGAAATGAAAGAAACACAGAATCCAAGTTTAATGTAATCCAATGTAAAGTTTTTATATGAAGTAATGTTTGGGGAACAATTTACTCTTCTAGTTTTGGTCCGCTTAGTTAGTCCAAAGTCCAAAGTCAAAATCTATCAGGGTGCTTTGATACAGCTCTGTGGAAACAGCTCCTTTATCAACTCGTACGGTTAACAACTGTTTAACCCCATAGGCTTGTATATAGTTCTGTATTCTGCAATACAATTTCCTGAGGAAATTAAGTGTGTTTAAAGTAGGTGTTAAAATTTGCCTTTGAATGAAAATTACTGTAATACATGATTGACGGTTAATCACTCAATGTGCAAAGAGTCTGGATCATGACAAACATAGACCAGAGTGTTCTTTACCCAGTACACATAATCTAAATCACCCCAAATTGTTTAACAAGTTTTGAATCAAAATGCTCTCAATGCTGCAGTGTAAATTGTGGTGCTGCAGCAGTTCTTCCTTTCACCAAACTTTCCATTGATATCTCTGGAAACACTACTCATGAAACACAGCTCATTCATAAGGACCTTTTGTGTCTTACTCTCCTCTTGAAAAGAGTCAGTGACAGTTGTTCAAATGTCAACTTCTAATTATCCATATCAAGATAAATGTTTAAAATGTGTGTACAATTGTAACAGCTATAGAAAAGGTCTTCTTGTATTTAGGTATTTCAGGAAAAATATATATAACCCATTGTATATTAATTTATTGACATGCAAAAAATGAATACTGAACACAAATTTAATTTTTATCAGACCATTACATTCTACTGCTATAAAAAAAAGCCCAGCCAACAGAGCATAACTTGGTTTCCCACATCCGAATAAACAGCGTAAAACCCATAAAAGAAAATTACTATAATACAACCATAAAGTGTCTGTGGTCCTCTGTGGAGAATTTACCTCACAGCACTGCCTGGTATTTCATGCTTCCCATGGAATCACATTTATATTCCCTCAATTCGACCTCTGGGAATTACAGGAAGTCTAAGCAGGCAATCTGAGGAGGCAATAACATAGCCTTAAACATTTTTTAAAAGTCTCATGAGGAAGCGTTGGATTATTTCTATAGCAGCCTAGGTGTCATTGCAACGTAGCGCAGCTCCCATGCAATAGTGAGCAGCCCCCCTATCCTCTCTTTCTCTCTCTCTCCGCCCCTCATGTGTCTACATTTCCATCCCATGGCCGTCTCTAGGTGATTTAGCGCCGCCAGTCTCAAGCAGGTATCCAACATGGCGATCACGGGGAGCGGATCTCTCGCTATTTCTTTCTATGTTTTAGTGATTTCAGCGGCGTTTCTTCACAAAGGTGAGTTAGTTTATTCTTCCCCTGAACGATCTAGTGACGGATCTCCTCCTTCACAACACTCAATAAGCCCAACAATTAAAAAAAGGGTGAAGAAGAGTATAGCGCTCGCGAAGTGAAGTTGGTGCGTTTGCGCGCACGATGCGCACCAGCTTCTCCTCGAATCTCAGCATCCCTCTCGGTTTGTTGTTTTAATAAGAATATCCACTATCCACCCAGATACGCTCCGTTTTTATAGAAGATCTAGATCTGGTTTAAACTGTGTTTTCCACTGGATGTTGCAGGAGTTGCTTTAAAAAGTAAGAAGCAGAGATAAAGTATGAGCTGTCGAACGGGATCTATCCAAACGGGGAAGGCAGCGGCTTTTCTGGAGAATGAAATGAGCAGCAGGCTCTAATTCTAGTCTACAGTATATTCATAGATAAAACTCATCCCCTCAAATCTTTCCTAGGCTCTGCGCTTCAGGTGCGCTTCAGAGGGGGGAAAAAACACGCAATGCAGCTTGTGTATCCTGTGGCCGCTCAGCAGCTGCAGACCCGGATCCATGCGACTATTCATGTGTCCGCAGTCCGCACTTTATTCAGCCCAAGAGGCTGCAAGTGAACATCTGCCATGCCACCTCATTAAAGCGTGCAACAATCCTAGATGTTTCTTTTCTTTCTTTTCTGTGGATGTGCACGCTCATAGCATTGCATCAGAGTTGTGTCAGATTTTTAGGAGAGGTTACAATGGCCCCACTTTTGGAAACACTTTTGCAGGTAAGGATTGCCATCTGTATCCCGAGCAAATGAAGCAACTGTTTGAATGACACAGAGTTACACTTGGTGGCTTGATTCTGGCTCATGATGAAACCAGCGGTGCATAGAGCAATGTTATCTGCAGCACACATCAACAGGTCTGCAGAAACGTGTGTGTGGGCATGTATTGGTTAACTTGTGGGGACAGTGTAAGGTGGATTTTCAGGAATATGCTGCTTTGTCGTTTAGGTGTAAGCAGAGTTTAGGTAGGGGTTTGGGTTGGGTATATATTTGTAATGGCCAGGGTTAAACCACACAAATTGAGGTGAAATGGATGGAAGGTAATGTAAAGACCTCTTCAGGACAGCAGGACATGCCATTTGTATCTGTGTGTGTGTGTGTGTGTGTGTGGTGCTTCCAAAATGAGGGTACTTGTTAAAGAAATGTTTTGACAGAATGTTATTTTTTTGCAGTTCAGTGGTTACAAGGCTTTCATTTCAGAGCTGCTGAATTTATTATGCTCTGTGCTGAATTGCAGCTAAATGACATTTACAGCATTGTCTAATGTCTCCTTGTCACATTAATTTAATTAACCTCTCAGCAGAATAAAATAATGCATCCTGAATGTGGAATAACCTCCAGGCACAATGCAGTGAGAGCTGTAAGGCTTATGGAATAAAAGCAAGCTGTTCTTTGCTGCTCACTTGTTTTTAACCTGACCTTAAGTTTTAGGCCTTATGATGGACAAATAATCCTTTTTAGAAGCATTTTGCCGTACAAGCAGCAAAAGTTTTTCTACTAGATTTGTGGATTTAGAGACTGACAGTTTACCACTTTCTTCTTTGCAAGATAGAGTTTATGTTAGACTGAATGAAAAGCACCTGCAGATTGCAAATTCCACTAGGTTCTATGGACTTTGAGTAGGCTCTATTTACACACAATTCTCACACCGCATCTCTTCTCTTGGTTGACCCAGCAGCATGGCTGGACCATTTTGGAATCCAAACTAATTTTGGATCCATATTATCAAATAATTTGCCGAAGAATAACTAGATTTTATTTAAGGACTCCCTATAATAATAGACAAATCTGTAAATGTACGTATATCTGTCTATTAACCATCGTCAACATTAGATACATTTCTGTTCATTAAAAAAGGTAATCAAAGCACTAAAGATGAAATGCACTATTAATCCAAGAATACAACTACTTTATAACTGGACACAGACAAACTAAATAAAAAGGGAAAATTTTATAACTCTTTTTTCTTTGAATGAATTATTTTGGTCTGACATTTGCATTTATCACTGCCTTCTTTTGTGTGTTTTGATCATTTTACTCGGAGCTCATCTCAGCTTCAAAGAGGGGGGCATTTGAGCGCTTCCATCGTAAATCAGAGCTAAAGTAATTCTGTGCTGGAGTGGAACACAAGCAGTGTAAATCTGCAGGCAACACAGAACACACAAATATTATGATATAACCTAAAACCTTAAAACATTAGAGCTGGACAGTTAAGCAACATCAATATATATATATATATATATATATATATATATATATATATATCCCAGTAAGCATTTATTTAATAATTACAATATAACATTTCAGGCACTTCAGTATTAAGTACAGTCCATTACTACTGCATTTGTCACCGACTGTCTTTTATTTAGTTTTATGTTTTTTTTTTAAGCAAATATTTTAAAATGTAATATTGGATGACTGCTCTATACATGGCAAAAATAATCGTCTTAGATTCTTACAGGATTCAATTGGTAGCATTTTTGAAAGTCTGTTTTTTTCAGTAATATCAATATTAAATTGATAAAGAAATTAATAAATGTATTGTGATATAAGTTTTGGCCATATTTTTGAACCTCAGTTCTGATTATATGTAGTGTTTCTATCTGGCTGAAGGTGATTATCTAAACCTTGCTCAGGTCTGCTGGAGCTTCTAACTAGATTTTAACAAAGCATTCCACCAGCATTATGTTGGCACAACTATATCTTACCAACAGGTTGATGCATTGAGGGTGCAGTGTTGGTTTAGGTTATTCTGATGTAACATGAATAGATTGCTGAAAGAAAGGGCTCTTAAGAAGATCCCGCGCAGCGTGCAAAAGGGTTCAAGGTTTTCTTTTAACAATTTGAAGTTGTTGAGGAAAGTAAAATAGAGAATTTGTAATTGTATGCTTTTTTCTAACTTTTACATATAACGGAAGAAAGGTTAAACTTCTTCAAATAGTTGAGTATGTGTGTTTTTTGAGTCACAAATCAATATCTTGCACTCTCAGTTTTGTTTGAGTTAATCTAAAACAAGCGGTGCAAAACAAATGCAAACCCTTGTATTCATTCCTTAAATTTTTAAAAAATGTTTTCGTTATATTGTATTCTTTTTCCCCTTACACAACTAGAAATGAGGGAATACCAAGGCTCAAAACAAAACTAAAATTGCAAGACATTTTGCATGACTCACAAAGCAAAGGTTGTGTACTTGTACACCAGAATTTGAAGAGGTATGATGTTTTTAAATAAAATTGTTAAAGAAAAATCTGTAATTATAAAATCTCCCAAGTTACAATGCACAAATACAGCCATCGAGAGACTTGGAATACTTGGACCAAAACTAAGAATGTAAGGATCAATTTGTGTACTTGTACTCAACAATCTGAATAGGTGTAATTTTTTTTTAATGTTCAAATACTGAGCTTTCAAAATGATCTTCATATTAACTAGCTGAACTCTGGTTACTACATGTTGGCCTCTCTTAAAATGAACCTAAATTTGTCTGTTTAAAAATATTTTAGGTCACAAAGGAACACAGATTGTTCCGGGTTCTGACTAGTGTATTTCAATGTAGAAGGACCCCACACTGAAAATGTGTCACCACAACCCTGTGACTGCCCCCCCCCTCCCGTAACTGATATCTGCCCCTCCCGCGCACCAGGGTGGTGTCCAGCGCATTTCACACAACCACTTGTTATACTGAAAGTTGTCAAAATTACACCGAAATCAGACCGATGCACTCAATTTTATGGAAATAATGGCTGTGGAAAGGTTTTTTTTAAACACATTGACATGCTTGTTTGCAGCCATGCATCAGAGAAGCGCTATGAAAATGTGAACCCTAAAAATTTTAGACTCTGCCTTCAACTCAGACATGTAAGTGTTCTCGGAGGCAGGTGAACACATGGGCTCCCGTCCCACCAGCAGACAGAGAGCAACCTTCGAGGGTAGCGGTGGAGCATCCAGGTTTGGAAAGATTCCCAGTCTCTTGGTCTGTCAAGCTGAACCATACGATAGTCATGCTTTTATTTATTTATTTATTTATTATTTGTCGCTCTACCCAATAAAACGCAGTATTATTGCTGTGTTGGTGTGAAGCGTTGGTGTGAAGCCGTGGCTTCAAGTAGATGGCAATAACACCTCACTGGGTTTCTCTGATGTTTCCATATAAAAGAGAGATATGAACCTTGCCTTTCAGCATGGAAGAAGATTGCAAGAAATAGGGGTAGGCTCAATTAGTAAAGAGGCAAACAAAAAAGGAAGACAATATGGTTGTAGAGTATAGAATAAAGAAAAAAAAAAATCACACAGCCCTACCCCAACTCTAATAAAAAATCCTGGTGAGAACCCTATCCGGTCCTGCTATTGAAACTCTTACTCAAGTAAACGTATCTAAAACTACTGCTGGAAAGCCATGAGGGGGAACCTAACTTAGCTTAACAAATAGTTCAACAAATTTGCATTGCATTCTTTGATAAATGCACTTAAAACTTCTACCAAATCTGTATTTTTTACTTTGGTTTATGAATGAAGTTGAACATAATTGTATTCCTTAGGTTAAATTATCATGACCCATCAACCACTAAGATGTATTATTTCAGCAGCAGTAGGAATCCTTTTTTTTTTTTTTTTTAGATAGAAGCGGTCATGTCACTTTTACAATTTAGCTTAAAATGTGTGTGTAAATTCAGCGATACCATGACATTTTACTCAAGTACTACCTAATGAAGCCAACACCAATCCATTTTTTGTCCTGGTTATCAAAAGACAACACTGCTCCTTCTCTGAACAGTGGCGGTCGTAAAACTACAGAGCTGCGTTGCCTAAGCATCCCCGTTATGAAAAGATGAGACTTTGCATTACAACAGAGGAATCTGTTTAGCGGTGTGTCTCTCCCCCGGGTCTCCTGGGGCCCTGCCTGTTGTAGCGCATCAGATGGTTGAATTTCAGAGGGTTCAATGATCCCACTTATTGCCAGTTTAA